CTCACGAAACATCGTGAAAATTTTATTTTTTATATTTTTATTATGTATTGTTTCCCTTCAACGTGACTTAACCGAAAGAACCAAGAATATATAGACAATACGTTCTACTTAATTAAATAGACGTTTTAATAAATGTTTTCTCCTACAACATCAGAGTGCAGCGCCACATTAAATACGCACTACAATGACAATAGTTTAAAGCGATTTGAAGCATGTTTTTTTTTTATGGAAATATGTTTTTTGGGGGGGGGAGGCAGAGCTTTATGACGTCATATTTGAAGGGGGGTCTGACTTTTTGTGACGCCGTGTGACGAGGGGGGGGGTCAAAAATCGTCCAAAATCGCGTGACGTCATTTATGGACGGCCCCTTACAGCGAGTGCCACCTGGGCCATATCTCTGTGACCGCGATGCTTCCGTTGCTGCTGCTGGCAGAGTTTCTTGCCTGTGAACCAAATGGCCGGAGTGTGGTGTAATCCGGGTGACTAAGGGGGCAGCAATGATGCATCGCACAGAAGGTGGAGCAACAACATCCACAGCTCAGTCGCGATTCCGGTTTGAGAATCCACTGCCTCAACACATGGCGCTGCCAAAGAGTGTGCACATTTTTGGAATTGCCATTGGTCCTAAGTTCTCGTTCTGTTCCCAGGTACTTCCATCCGTGTCATTGTGGAGAATATAATTATGACTACATGGATTAGGGAATGTAGTTTTGCATCAAAATAGTGTCCATATCAGTTTAATACGTGGAAGCGTATTATTAAGTAATACATCTTGCAATTACAATTCCTTATAGAGGAAACACATAATAATTAACTGATTGTCACTATGTAACACAATTTTTTGTTCCTGGGTAGTTAGTGTAATTTCGTATTTGCTTATGCCTAAAAAATGGTTATTATTCCCCACAAACTTTTCTTTTGTGACCAGGACAGTGATATTTTGAAATGTACCTATTTTCAATGAGAAAACGGGCGAATTTGTGTCTTTTCGTTCACATAAAGTCAGAAAAAATAACATGAATAAAAATTAACATGTATTTCTACTAAAGTAATACAAAAATGACGACGAAAGATGTATAAGTGAGTAGTTTTTCGAGATTTACGATTATACTGTATATAACTTTCACGAACCAGCCCCAAATATAGTCTCCCATCATGTTCTCGTTATAGTGTCCTTGGTAGCGGCGTTCAAAGTCCAGTATGTCCTGGTGGAAGCGCTCGCCTTGCTCCTCCGAGTACGCTCCCATGTTCTCCTTGAATTTATAAAGATGAGCATTAAGGATATGGACTTTTAGGGACATCCTACAGCCCATTGTGTCGTAGTTCTTCACCAGTCTCAACCAGCTTTACATCGTTTTCAACCTTGTGATTGCCCAGGAAGCCACGAACCACTGCGACAAAGCTGTCCCAAGCCGCTTTCTCCTTACTAGCGAGCTTCTTGGGAAATTCATTGCACTCCAGGATCTTCTTCATCTGTGGTCCGACGAAGACACCGGCTTTGACATTTGCCTCAGACAGCTTAGGGAAGAAGTCTTGAAGGTACTTAAAGGCTGCCAACTCCTTATCTACAGCTCTGACAAATAGTTTCATAAGGCCCAATTTGATGTGCAGTGGTGGCATCAGCACCTTCCGGGGGTCCACCAGTGGCTCCCACTTGACGTTGTTCCTCCCCACAGATAACTCGGTCCGCTGTGGCCAGTCCCGCCTGTGGTAGTGCGCCTTGGTGTCCAAGCTGTCCCAAAGGCAAAGATAGCAGGTAAACTTGGTAAAACTGCCTTGGAGACCCATCAGGAATCCCACCATTTTGAAGTCTCCGATGACCTCCCAGCCGTACTCATCATACTTCAAGGCGTCCAGCAAGGTCTTGATGCTGTTGTAATCTTCTTTGAGGTGCACCGAGTGAGCCAGGGGAAGAGACGGTACTTTTTACCATTATGGATCAGCACGGCTTTGAGGCTCCTGGATGAGCTGTCAATGAAGAGGCGCCACTCATTCTGGTTACAGGCGATTCCGATTCCCTCGAACAGACTGGTCACATTGTGGCAGAAGCAGAGCCCATCTTGACGGGTGAAGAAGCTGCAAAAAGGTTGGTGACGCTTCCTCTGATCCGCGACTTGCACACTTTCATCCAACAAGTTCCATTGCTTGAGCCTCGATGTCAAAAGCTCGGCATTGGACTTGGTGAGACCAAGATCCCTGATCAAGTCGTTGAGGTCATTTTGGTTGGGGTAGTATGGGTTTCTCTATTCAGCTCCACTTCTGAAATTGTCATCTGGATCTACAACGTCTTCCTCGCTCTCCGACTTGCTGCTCTCATCGAAAGACGGATGCTTTCTCTCCGGAGGAGTAGGTACAGGGAGCTCATGGCAGTGTGGCACCGGGGCGATGGATGAAGGAAGGTCCGGATACGTGATAGCAGGTGCATTCTTGCAAGTCCGACGTTTGGAAGGGTCCACCATGCAGAAGTAGCAGTTGCTCGAGCGGTCAATGGGTTTCTCCAAATTCTTGGGATAACGAATTTCATGGCTCTCTTTTCCCCTCTGTATCATCCTACAAAAATACATTTATTTCACCCATGGCTAATGTGTAAGAGATTCTCGCAACATTTTTCATATATGATATATATTTTCGATAACATTGACAATTGTAAAACATTTAAAATTAAAAACTTTAACAATTTAAATTTTTTTAACAAATTTTATAACATAAAATTCCGAGCAACAATTGTTCATCTTACCTTCCAGAGTTGTTTTGCATTGCTCGCAGGTGAAATGGGGTGCCCAAGGTTTGTCTCGATCCCCGACAGGCATGCCGAAATATGCCTTGTCGACCTCACACATCGTAGCAGATGCTTCCACAGAGTACTTTTTCGCTTTTGTCTTGATAAATTGGCCGCAGACATAGCAAAATGCGTCTGCCGGATGCTTGCAGCCTCTTGATGCCATCTCAGAAAAATGCAGATTTGTATCCACTTACGCAGCTGGAACTAAACTGAACTGGTGGTTTTAAGGCACCTGTATATATACTATTTATCTTACTGGAAAGTTCTAGAATGTTCTAGAAGTTACTCCAAATTAACTCAGCACTGAATCTATCTGGAATGTTCTGGAAAATAGCTAACTTTAGAAATATCACTGTCCTGGTCACAAAAGCCAAGTTTGTGGGGAATAATAGCCATTTTCTGTACAATTAGGAAATAACACTACCCAGGAACAAAAAATAATTGTTACACAGTGTTACTAATCTTACCTATAAAATACATTTTTTGTTTGTCTGTCTGCGCACGCATGCTTGCGAGGGATTTGGCTCTCAAACGGTGGGGTTTATGTAAAAAAAATGTTTCCAGCTATCACGCCGTAAGCCCCGCGGTGGGCCTGAATCAATACTGCTGAGATAATGCACTCTTCGAAGGCAAAGTAGCTGATGAGATGTGTAATAATGCTTTTATTTTGAGTATAGAGGGACAGATAACAGTACGTGCAGGAGGTGTATTGTCTGCTTATTAATATTGTAGTGAGTTAAATTCAGGCGCACACAATGGGCAACTCTTAATATTAACAGGATAACGACATAGGGTGGTAACTTAGCTAACACACGGGGATACTACATGTTTGGACTGGAGACCGAGGATCGTAGATGGTGGCTTCATCCCAGACTTGACCCAGCAGAGCAGCACAGAACAGCCCCCAGCTCTCCGTCCACACCACGCTTATAACCACGGGAAGGGGGGCGTGGCCGGCTCCGCCCCAGGCCACGTCCCCCTTCTCGATCCTTCGGGAAGGCCCGAACCCTAACCACGTGACCCCCCTGGGGCCCCTGGCCCCTCTTTATCCGGTCACGTGTCCTGTTGGGTTCACGCAGAGTGTCACGGCCCGACACGACCCCCCGTGACCCCCGCCTACAGCCCCCATACCAAGCCAATACAGTCGTGTCGTTCTACTACACTACAATATGATTAGGGTGGGGCCACAAGAGACACAAGCAGGGCTAATAATTAATAGGTAAGAAGTTTGCTTGGATTGAATCAATACTGCTGAAATTATGCCCTCCCAGAAGGTCGTTGGGCTCAATGAGTTTGTGTAACAATTACTTTTATTTTTACTGGGGAAAAAACAGATACAGAGACTCCTCTACTTATGATCGAGTTAGGTTCCAGAGGTTTGTTCGTCAGACGATTTATTCGTACGTCCAGCTTTACTCCTGTCGATTCCAAACATGTTCTACGGCATGTACACTAAACACGTGGAATAGCTTTAAAAGTTTTATAATCTCCTGTAGATGTTGATCCCACCTGTCTTCACGTTCTGCAGATGTAGATGCCACTGGTTATTCACGTTCTGCTTTTATGGCTTTATTTTGGTGATGTCGAAAACTTTTTTGGGTTTGGCCATGTTTGTTTGTTGTAGTACGGAGTTAAACTGATGGCTTTAATCTAAGTTGTCTTGTGGTTGTTGTTGTTGTTGTTTGACTTACATCCCACTGGGATTTTTGCACACATCGTTGGTGTACGGTGCTTTTTCAGGAATATTTTGCTGTTTTTTTTTCCTGGACTTTCTGTTTGCACAGTCACACAAAGTCACTTTAAGATGTTTTCTTGTTCATGTTTTTGTTTGTTGCGGTTGCACCCGATTCAAGAGTCAAATGTCTCACAGGGCTATACCAAATAAATGAAACTGAAAGATGTAGATGCCACCATCGCCATCTATTGCGCGACGGTTGAACTTACGACTGGACATAACGGACAGGTTTGTTCGCGTCTCTGAAAGTTCGTAAGTTGAACGTTCGTAAGTAGAGGAGTCCATGGCCATCGTCTTTGCGAAGGCGGTGGCGTCATTGACGAATGTGCTGAGCGCTACTCTTTTTAAGAGGTAAGGGGTGGGGCTATAACGGGGAGGGCGGGGCTTCGGGGACGGGGCTTCGGGGACGGGGGCGGGGCTTCGGGGGACGGGGCGTGGGGCTTCGGGGGACGGGGCGCGGGGCTTCGGGGGGAACGGGGCGGGGCTAGCGGCCGCAGACGATAACCACCTAACCGTATCCCTCCGACGCCACAAGCCACTTCACTCACTACACAGCGTCCGACGGCGTCGAAATCGCACGCCAAACGCCTCGAAATAGCGCCGGCCGACGCGAGCGGCTCACGCTCGTGCAAAAGCGGCGCGCTGGCAACGAGTAGATTCGCTCCCAACGGCCCGTAAAGGCGCCCGAAGCCGGGACTATTTTCAAGTATCGGAGCGAAAGGTAGTGAGCGAGCGGGGCGCCGCCATGTTGCGTCAGGCCTCGGCTTCTCGCGCCTCCCCTCGCCTACTCGCAGGTCGGGCCCTCGCTCCCCGCGATTCCCCTCCCCGGTGCTTCGCGAATCTGCGTCCGAGCGAGCTTGAGACTACGGCGGTGCACGCGGGTGTGGTGCGAGGATGAGCTTGGCTCGAGGTTGCGTCTCGAGGAGCGGGGGGTGTGGGGGTGGGGGAGGCCTTCCAGCCTGGTCGCCGCAGCGAGGTTGCGCGTCGCTCCCGCCCGTATTGGAATTAGGAAAGTTCGTAGGCTCCAAGCTGGTGTTAGGCCGCAGCTGGTGTTGCTCTCAGGAGGTGACGGGTTTTATAGTTTGTGCTTCTTCAATGTTTTTTTTTGTGAAATGCATCGCCTCTTGGATGATCGTGCATTCATTTTAGGCAGCGTTAAGGGGCGGCATTAATGAGGGTTGGCATTAAGGAGGATTGGTTCGCTTTCAGTGCCATGCAGTGGGTATCGTGCAGTTGCGTTGCTATTCGTGGTGTTTACGTGTGGAGTGCGTTGTGGTAGTGTTTGTATATCGTGTGTGTATCGTATACTGTATTGTGTATATTGTGTATGGAGTAACTGTGTGATTTTGAAATCTATGTAGTGTGGTTTGTGGTGTGTAATTGTGTGTGTTTATTTTCTGGTTTCACTTGGATACGCTGTGTATTGCGTATTTTACGTCTGTGTATGGAGTAACTTGTACTGCAGTATGTTGTGTTCGTTGGTGAATATTATGCTTGTATAATGTATACTTGTAGTGTGTTTCGTAAAGTCTGTATATGTGCTCTGTAGTGTGTATTATGTTTGTTTATGGAAAACGTTTGGGGGGGTGTTTTGTTGTGTGAAAAGGCGCTTTTTCGCTCCTCGGATTCCTCCAGTATAAATACATATTTTGATTCTGCGTGTATTTTACATGACTATATTCTGGTGTGAGTGGGTTATGTATGTATGTAGAGTGCGCTGTGCGTCTGTGCAGTGTAATGTATTTAATGTGTGTTTTTATGCGTGTATTGTGTTAATGTATTTGCGCGCTGTTGTGCATCGCGTGTAATTTTTGTGTGTTCAGTGCATGTGATGCATGTTGCGTGTCGTGAACTTCTTCACACCTGCCCAATTCAGATTCAGAATTGCAAAAATACGTTACAGGCGCACCGTCTTTGTATTTAATCTTCGCCACAATCACCGTTCATCCAGTTAATTGCATTCCCACAGGATTCCTGTCGCCCAACCTCAACCCCTCGCTATGACCCTACGCCACCCACATTTTCCGATAGACGTTACGTGCTCCATCTGAGATGGCCCAACACCTCAGTGATGTACTTTTTTCTCAAGGCTAGCCGGCTCCAACTTGCTTAGTCACAGTGAAGATCCTCGCGTATTTGTGCTCACCCTGCTCATGTGCTCTTCGGTGTTTGATTGGTGCACGCGGTGTATGACCACGAAATATATGACGAGCTGTGTATAATGGACGTGAATGGAGTGCATTGTGTTGAATTCTATATTCTGATTTTATATGTTGTGCATTTTGAGTGCATATAGCATGCGCAGTCTTTATAGCGTCTTGAAGCTGCTGAGCTACTAATATATTTAATAATATAGTTATAATACGTTATATAATGTGTGCATAATGCAGTGCGCGTATAAAATGTGTATCGTTTACACCGAGAATAGTGTTGATTGTGTGTATTTTGTGTTTTCAGTGTGCAGTGTATACCATGTAATTTGTGTGTTCTTTTGTGTGCATAAAGTGCCTAGTACAATGCGTGTATGGTGTATCTAGCAGCCTTTTATAGCATCATGTTGAATGTGTGATGTGTATGGCGCTACCTGCTGTCTGCCCGGGGTACTGCACCTTGCCCACGTGGCTCTGTTGTCATGTGAGGCACGTTCTGTTTGCGTCGTCCCATGCGTCCCAGGCGGACAACACCGCCCTGCAGTAAGCGCAGTGAACGGGACACGCCTTCTTCACCTTGTGGGGGATTAGATTAACGCGGCCAATTTGTCCCCAGAGCTCATTGTGCAGGTGGTGCTTTTGTTGGGGGGGGGGGGGGGTTTCTCCTCCTTGAAGTTGCTCCGTGGTCTAGTTGTTTACCCCAGCCACGTGTGTGGCGAGATGTGAACTACTTCGCCTGGCATACGAGGAGGTGGTGGGTTCGATCCCGATCCTCACGCATGCGGTTTATTTGGAGTTTACATGTTGTCTCCCCGTGGTCGTGTGGATTTTTCTCTCAGTTCTCTTGGTTTTTTTTCCCTCCATATTTAGAAACGTGCGATTCAGAGTATTTGGCTACTATATATTTCCACGTAATAAGCCACTTCGTTGTGGTATCATTTGTGGCGAGGTCGTTTCTGAAAAATCTCAGTAGGCCTTTCCTAGTAAAATAAATAAAAAGTTAATTAGTATTTTGTTTTTGACTGATGCTTGGGGTCAAATTCTTAATCAAGAGTCTTCTTGATTTAAAGCTTTCGTGACTGCAGTAATTCATATTCTTAGCTCTTTCGGTAAAGTCATGTTGAATTTTTTATTGTTTTATATATATTTTATTGTTTCCCTTCAACGTGACTTTACCGAAAGAGCTAAGAATAAGAGTCTTCTTGTGAATAAACAATGTGGTGGCATTCTTCTGCATTGGCAGCCCACACTCATTGGTGTAAATTCCACAGTATAATGGTGGTGGCCAGTCTCTCCACAGCATGGTGGCCAGTACTGACAAAGTGAGTTATGTCCTCTTAGCAAAATAAGCTTTAACTATACTACTTTGTAAATGTGCACCTTGTGCGATTTGTCGGTGTCTTTATGCGCAAAAACATTTTGTAACCTTGAGCTTGTGGTGGAGATTTCACATTCTTATGGGAGGGAGAAGTCTGTTCACAGCATATCCACGGTTCAACTCCCTGCATCAAGTGACGCAGCCTCAGCGTAGCACTCATTGTACTGACCCTTGAGGAATGAGGATGTTTTCACTGGGAGCCTGCTTGTCTACCAGCTTCACGGGATCCAAATTAATTATACACATTGTTGTTTGCAAATGGTATTTGTCTTTAAACATATCGTGTGCATTGTTGTAAACATATTCTATTATTAGTTTCCTTATTGCTTTATGATATATATAACTACAGTTAAATAATGTTTTTATTTTCCCAGGAAACTCGTGAACTTTTTTCACTTTCGAATGTAACCATAATTTTATTTTTTTCCCAGTCATTATCCTTTTCTGTGATTTGTGATGCAAAGTGAATGTTTGGATTAGGAGGTCATGTAAGAAGTATATTACACTGTAATTTCATAAACCACCAACTACACTCGTAATGGTTTTTAAACTAATGGCAACTCGTCAGAAATGATGATTCGCCAACTGCCCTTGTTTACATAGGACAGCAATAAACAAATTAATGGTGCTGTACTTTTATACACTTAATAAAATTGCACAATTTTCAAACGAATCTTTTTAAATTTGTGTTTCTATGTTATTAAGTTACATGTGAATTTAAAATATTTTGAATATTGCTATGACTGACAACACGGCCGTTTTTTGCAAACACCACATCACAGGGTCTTTAACGTTTTTTTTTAGCCTGCAGAGGTCACACTTTGATAAAGCATGCAAGCATTCCTGCACACTTTCTGCGATTGAAATGACGTCAACAGAATCATTGATACCACCACTCTTGACAAATTGCTAAGCATAAGGGGTCCAACACCCCCTGCGTTCCCAAACATTCACTAGCAGAATATTTAATCTTGCACGCCAGCATATTTAATTCATTTTAACAGCATGGTCCTCATACAGACAGCAATGTGGGCGTGCATTTTATGCTGCAAACCACGCACACATTTAATGTGGTGTGTAGGACATCACGTAGAGTATTATAAAATATAGCGCTTGCCCCGACAGTTTAAATGGCTAAGGAAGAGTTTTTTTTATTCCAGTTATTGTCCAGATATTAACATTGCAGCCTTTCAGGCGAGTAACGATTCACTGTGCAAATATCGTGAATTGTCACAGTTCTAAATTGCATTTCTCATTAACAATCGATTTTTATTTGTCCATGAAAGTAAATGTAGCAGATTTAGTTGGTGCAGTGTTTGTTAATCAGTTAAAATATTCAATTCATTCATATTCTTTCCTACATGCCCAATTAGATGCATAATACACTTTCTATTGATAAATCGGTAATGTTACATTTCAACTTGCCTTCCCATTCTTTATGTGATTCACTTGCTGAGCTGGTACTGTAGTAACATCTGAAGTGGTCATTAGCTGGCTAATTGTAATGCCTCCTTTTGCTCACTGCTATGAGTTCGTATTTCAAATGACATGGCTAAGTTGACGCTGCTTTACCACAGTTTGAATATCAACAGTGGAGTGTTTTGTTTAAATGCATTGCTTGTGTTGTGTGTACAGCCTTAATGCGTCATGAGAACTGCTCTCTTGGGTTCTCCAGTTTTCTTCCATACGCAAATCACCCAATGAAGGAATTGGCAAAAACATAATATCGCAGGATCCTTCTGAAAAGGCGTGTAGCGAGTCTTTCTTGAAAACGTCGCGGCTTATTGCGGCGGCGTAAACGTCCGCTGTACGCATGAATCAATTCTGTCTATTGTTCAGGGCAATGAAGGGCTGTGGAATCAACCCTGTAGTGTTTAACAATTGGAGGGTTATAAAATTAGTGACCTTTAAATGGACATGTGTGTTGAAGAGAAGGTTGTTAAATGAAGCAGTTGTGTGTTTTTTTTACACACCACTTGGTACACACGTGACCTGGTCAAAAGTCGAATTGTCTCTGGTCATATGAGCTTTGCAGTGGCATTTTATCTTGGTATGCAGCCTTAGAACCAAGCGGTGGAAATGTCATGACACTGTGCTAGGATTCAGCCTCTGCATAAGACAACTAAATGTTGACTTCCCACAAATCTGTAATTATTTTATGGACCCCGGGAGGTGTCCTATAGAAATTTTAGCTCGCAGCCTTCCCATTGCGAGTCAAGCTGTGTAACCGCGGCATTGCTTAATGATGCCCGTGGACCACCGTATTAGCGCCCGGAATACTTCGTATATTGATGGTGAATGTAAGGGTGTGTTTACGCTGGAAAGTGTTTTATTGGCATTACAGTCCGTCGGGTATTCAGAAGAATTGTATAGCTCCCAAGTGGAATGTTGACGCAAAACTTTTGCAGATAGAGGCAGTACATGCAGACATTTCTTTAATATTTCCACACACATGTTAACACATCTGTAAACAGATATTGGATGTTAGGGGGAACTTGGAGAACGCATGGTTGTAAAGAGTATCACATTGCGTTTTAAAGAGGTATTCAATAATTGCTGGAATTTGGCATAGGTATGGTCGAGTCTGCTTATAGCTTGTCAATCTAAAGACCCAACATTCTTTAATTTGTGGCTGGAAAAATTATTGCTGGAGGTTAATTGGTGACTTGGACCAGACATCTACCTTGGATTTCATTGGTTTGCTGGACTTGTGATTGTTCTTTTTACCATATGTTGGGTGTCTGTGGGTTTGTGAAGATTTCGCTGCACGATTATCTGTATTTGTTGCTACTTATTTTGTAATTTCTCGAGACATTTCCTCTTTTTTGTATTTCCTGTTTGTGTTTTTAAGTGCTTTGAGATGCTGTTTCCGTGATTTAAGTGATCAAAATATGCTGGAATCCTTGCGGTTATTTGAGTTTATAAAGCATTTAAATACGGGAACATTTCAACATATGCTGTTAAATGAGACGCAAACACTTGGATGAGTCTCCCTGGCCAAAGCAGTAACCGGGCTATGTTCATCTCCTGTTGGTCAGCCTTGAGCTAGGGCTGAAGATATTCCACATTCACATGACCAGTCTCCCAATAATACATCCACTGTTGACTTTCCACAGCGGCACGAATATTTTTCAACAATGGAGAATTTACGATTGGCTCGAGGTGGTTTGTCCAATTCCTTTAATGAGTCCTTTTTAATGTGGGAGGAAACCACAGCCCCTCGAAGTCACACATACGAGAAGATACGGCCTTTAATGTCTTTCACCGATGAATCAGGAACCCACTTGCTGTACTGCAATCTGTAGCCTGGCTTGAAGCTCAGTGGGTTGAGTCTCTCAGCTCATCATTACTTTGTGGCTGACTGTCCGTTTGCATGATATGTGTATAGTCAAACTAGTTCATAAAGCCTGTCTTTGCCAGACAAAAGTTTTCAATTTAAGAATTAACCTATGATTTTCTTTTATCTACGATCAGACACTAACAACTACAAAAATTTGTATTTTTCCGCAAAAAAACTATTGTTGGCGACTCGATTCAGCTTGTTATATTTAAATACGTACCCATCGGAAACCGCTCGATTCAAAGATTCCATTATATTTTATTAGAAAGAACACAAATTTATGAACTTAATACTCGGAGGAGAAGCTCTTATCGTTTACCGTTTTCGAATTATTCAGATTTTAACGTAATAAAATGTGTATTTTTTTCGTTCAAAACCGTTGGAATCCGAAATATCTCAAACGAAAATATTGAATGATGGTTCATGTTTATGGGGCACTTAAAATCGAGATTTTGGTGCCTTAGAATGAAAATCTCGGATTTCCAGATTGTACCTGTTGTTTGTGTCCTTAAAGCTACATACGTACTATTATATTTCAGCTTTCTGCCTTGTCGGAAAGTACCCTATGGGTTTTTTTGAGACCTCCATACAGATTCACGTCTTTATTTACACAGATGATGAGAATGCGCGACTTGAGTGGATGCTGCTGTGCAATAAGCGAGCGGTAGGTGGCGCCTTTAGCACACAGATGACTGTTAAGTTGCAGGCTCCTCCCCTTGCTCTGGCGAGCTTGCCGCACTCTCTCCAGCGCAGCCACTATGCGTCTGCCAGTTCACCCACACACACACTTCAATGAATTGTCTTGGGTTTGCATTTCCCTAAAAAAAAACGTCTCGTATAATTGTTATCGCCTAATTTGAACGGCGTTTGCTTAATTTGTCTAACTGCAACCGCATTCAATTTTTATACATTTAAAAATATCAATTGTATTATGAGCAGAATAATTTATTTTTATTAATTGATGAATCAGTGCATCAGACTGCTCAAGGGTTCTTGACAAGCTAAACTTTCATAGATCCAACTTGTAGCTCAGAGGTGGATCTTTATCTGTTATTCCTTTTGAATTCTGTTTTCCAATAATGTTAATTGTTCTGTACAAGGTCTAGTAATACTTTTATTCAAAGGCACAATATAAATTTGAGCTATTATTACTGTGTGTGTGAATCAATACGCTATTGGCAGCTCTTTAAATGTATATATGTGTGTGCTCGTTTATGTTTGGGGGCAGTTGTCCTGGGCCTCCCAAAGGTCAAATCACACTTTAACATGAGTACCGTGTGCAGTGTGTGTAAATATACGCACAGGGGAGACAATAGCAGCTAGGAATGGATGGTGGAAGGTACACCACACCCTCTCGCACCATACCGGTCTTTATAGGTGCTTGCTAACAGAATTTTGCTCCATCTGTCTCTGTAGGGTACACGGGGAATCTTAGTATTTTGCATGTATGTGTGTGCGTGTCTGTGTCTTGACGTGTTAGTTGTATGTGTGTGTGTGTGGGAGCGATAGTGTAGCGGTTAGCGCGCTACGCTATGAACCTGGCGACCCGGGTTCGATTCCCGCTCACGGCCAACACCAGTGACGATTATCTGAACCGGTCCCGGGCCTCCCCTAGGTCGACTCAGCCTAAAATGAGTACCTGGTGCGGTGTGTAAACATTGCCACTAGGGAGACAAAGGCGGTCGGGCGTGGTGCTGGCCACCCACCCCCTCGTGTACCGTTCCGGCCTTCATAGGTGCTCGCTAACAGCACTTGCCCCTACAGTCTGTTAAGGCTATATGGGGGATCTTTGTATCTTTGTTTTTGCATTGCTCAAAATATGGCCATTTGTGTTGTGTAGGTGTATCAGTCTATAGTTGTCGGCTTGTTTCCATGTGCACACATGCCTGTCCATCCATAAAACAACGTGTGTGTGTGTTCATGCTCATGTGCCTATGTGTGGTGACAGCAGTGGGGTCCGGCGCGTGGGACAGGATGTGCTCGGAGGGCCACGGCTCCCGACTGACTCCCAGCACTGGCATGTCGGCCAAGGAGCTCTGCGAGACTGACGACCTGGCCACCTCGCTTGTGCTCGACCAGTACCTGGGCTTCCAGACGCACAAGATGAACACACGGTGCGTGTGTAAATGTGTACGCATGTGTGTGTGTGTGTGTTCAACCCATGTCACCTGGTTCTCTTGCGTGACCTTGCAGCATGCCGTCGACACTTCACGTCGTCTCAAAGAGCACCTATAACATATGCACAAATGCTATGGTGACGTCACCCCGTCACTGAGTGGTGAGCGGCGATTGTTATGTGTGTGAGTTATGGGGAGCTGTTGCACCATGATAAGCAAACTGCTGCCAACATGGGCGAAAACTATCTGAACCGGTTCTGGTCCTCCTCTCGGTCGATTCAGGCTTGAAAGTATATCCATGCGCATTGTGTATTAAACATCAGCATTGGTGTAGACAAAGGTATGCGGGCATGGTTCTGGCCGCGCCACCCCCTTAGGTGCCATGCTGACGTTCATAGGTGCTCAATAACAGTACCTGTCCCTACAGTTTGTGTAGGCTGCACAGGGTATCTTTGTCTTTATTGTATGAAAGTGTTTGTGTGTGTTTGTGTTCTAGGTGATACCCCAGAACTAATTCAACGTTAAAACTGTCTCTGATTCTCGGGCATTAACACGGAACTCGAAGAATCCTAAACTTACCTTAGTTTCTATAATTATGTATGTTTGTTGAACTTCTTTCGCATTGTACGTAGCCAATCGTGCTTACTGGGAGTTGCGGGGGAAGGGCACAAACTAAACACGCAAAAAAATAGCTCACAAAAAGAATGTCTGCTGTGCACAAGGTCCCACATGCCATCACCGACTTGTTGAAAAATGCAAATTGTCGACGTTGACGTGGTGGTACAGTCGCGCACGTACTGCACGACAAATTGGTTCAACTCCCGACCCTGCACATCATCAGTGACCAGAAATTATATGAGCCTGCACTGGTCAAATTTAAGTTGACTTTACCTATAACGGAAGCATGGTGAAGTGAGAACCGGGGGGAGATGGGCAGTTGGGCATGGGAACTGGCCACACTACCCTGCCAACCTCGTGTCTTATTTTGCCCTATTCAGCACTTGCAAACATCACTTTCCCCCACAGTCTGTGTAATCTATACGGAGGATCTTTGTATGTATGTGGGGAGCAGTAGTGTAGCGATTCACGCGCTGCACTATGAACCCAGCATCCCGAGTTCGATTCCCGCTCGTGGCCAACATTTTCAACGAATATCTGAACTGGTCCTGGGCCTTCCCTAAGTCGACTCGGCCTCAAATGAATAACTGATGGGATGTGTAAACATCATCACCGAGGACACAAAGGCATCCAGGCCTGGTGCTGGCCACCCACCCCCTCCTGTGCCGTGGCCCTCCTTCACAGGTGCTCGTTAATAGCACTTGCTCCTGCAGTCTGTCAAGGCTTTTGTGTGATTCGGTGCATTAGTAAACTTTTCAAAAAGCCTGTGAGCGGTGAGTGCATATATGCATATGAGAGCGTGACTATTCGTGAAAGTATCTGTCTGTGTGTGCACAGCGCAAATCCATGCACTCCAGGTCAAGTTAATACGACAGAGCCATCGTTCACTTCTGCGATTGTGAATTTCGCACGTTCCCGGCAGCAGTGGTGCTCACTGAGATAGGATTCTATTTATATCAGAAATGTCATCAGTGCCTGGCAGGCAAATTCTGCAGACAATTAATGTTTGTGCTATCCTCACAGTGTCAGTGTCATATGGAGTTTGTGCCCATGCTAAATCGTCTTATCAACGGGCACTTGGCTCTTCTTAGGAAGTACCTTTATTACACACATCCTTTCACAGTTTACAGACGGATATCAATGTTATCCGTGTATAGCTATAAAAGTTGAACTCACAATATTAAAACAATAAGCCATGTACATTGTATAATTATTCATTCAAATGTTGGTCTTGGAAAAATAATACATAAAGCGTATTAAACTTAATTCATGTGTTCTTTAGGATTGTTTTTATTTGTGCTTATTTTAGGCAAAAAAAGTCCGGTATCTGTATTAATATTAAAAGTTAAACCTTCATACGTTCATATACCTTCATGCAGGTATATCATCACTGATAACTTTCTGCTCTTCAAACAAATCGAAGGTCTCATACCGCTATTGGCAAGGAGGCTACCTGACATTGCTGTGAATAAGTGAATGCTGCCTTTGCAGTTAAAGTACTCTTAGCGAATGGAGCTAAGAGTACTGGAGCTCCAGATCAATTTGCTTAAACTACAAATCTCCTGATCCACAAACCGATTCTTCTGATTTTTCATAGTTTTTTTGTAGCTCGGAGAATTCACTCAGAAGTGGTCACACAACCAATACATTCACCCTATTGTCTAAGTTTATTCAAAACTGGGGGTAGTCATAATAAAAAGTATGCTATTGTTTACATTTGTGCATAAAAATACCGCCTCACCCCTCCTCTCCCACAACTGCAGTGTTGCACTATTTGTCTACAGTGAGGGAAAAAAAGTATTTGATCACCTGCTGATTTTGTACGTTTGCCCACTGACAAAGAACTGATCAGTCTATAATTTTAATGGTAGGTTTATTTGAACAGTGAGAGACAGAATAACAACAAAAAAATCCAGAAAAAACGCATGTCAAAAATGTTAAATTGATTTGCATTTTAATGAGGGAAATAAGTATTTGACCCCTCTGCAAAACATGACTTAGTGCTTGGTGGCAAAACTCTTGTTGGCAATCACAGAGGTCAGACGTTTCTTGTAGTTGGCCACCAGGTTTGCACACATCTCAGGAGGGATTTTGTCCCACTCCTCTTTGCAGATCTTCTCCAAGTCATTAAGGTTTTGAGGCTGACGTTTGGCAACTGGAACCTTCAGCTCCCTCCACATATTTTCTATAGGATTAAGGTCTGGAGACTGGTTAGCCAACTCCAGGACCTTACTGTGCTTCGTCTTGCGTCACTCCTTTGTTGCCTTGGCCGTGTGTTTTTGGTCATTTTCATGCTGGAATACCCATCCACGACCCATTTTCAATGCCCTGGCTGAGGGAAGGAGGTTCTCACCCAAGATTTGACGGTACATGGCCCTGTCCATCGTCCCTTTGATGCGGTGAAGTTGTCCTGTCCCCTTAGCAGAAAAAACACCCCCAAAGCATAATGCTTCCACCTCCATGTTTGACGGTGGGGATGGTGTTCTTGGGGTCATAGGCAGCATTCCTCCTCTTCCAAACACGGCGAGTTGAGTTGATGCCAAAGAGCTCCATTTTGGTCTCATCTGACCACAACACTTTCACCCAGTTGTCCTCTGAATCATTCAGATGTTCATTGGCAAACTTCAGACGAGCGTGTATATGTGCTTTCTTGAGCAGGGGGACCTTGCGGGTGCTGCAGGATTTCAGTCCTTCACGGCGTAGTGTGTTACCAATTGCTTTCTTGGTGACTATGGTCCCAGCTGCCTTGAGATCATTGACAAGATCCTCCCGTGTAGTTCTGGGCTGATGCCTCACCGTTCTCATGATCATTGCAACTCCACGAGGTGAGATCTTGCATGGGGCCCCAGGCCGAGGGAGATTGACAGTTCTTTTGTGTTTCTTCCATTTGCGAATAATCGCACCAACTGTTGTCACCTTCTCACCAAGCTGCTTGGCAATGATCTTGTAGCCCATTCCAGCCTTGTGTAGGTTCTACAATCTTGTCCCTGACATCCTTGGAGAGTTCTTTGGTCTTGGCCATGGTGGAGAGTTTGGAATCTGATTGATTGCTTCTGTGGACAGGTGTCTTGTATACAGGTAACAAGCTGAGATTAGGAGCGCACTCCCTTTAAGAGTGCTCCTAATCTCAGCTCGTTACCTGTATAAAAGACACCTGGGAGCCAGAAATCTTTCTGATTATGAGGGGGTGAAATACTTATTTCCCTGATTAAAATGCAAATCAATTTATAACATTTTTGACATGTGTTTTTCTGGATTTTCTTGTTATTCTGTCTCTCTCACTTCAAATAATCCTACCATTAAAATTATAGAATGATCATTTCTTTGTCAGTGGGCAAACGTACAAAATCAGCAGGGGATCAAATACTTTTTTCCCTCGCTGTATATGTGTAACCCATGGAGACATAGCATGTGCTATCGTCATTGAGTGTACGTGACAGAAATGTCGCATTGGCCGCCCGCAGTTTTTCGGGTACATAGCACTGTGGTGTCTCCAGCCGAAGTGCTGGCTGGCATTATCTTGTCATGTTTTGTAAATTCCCCTTCCATCACAGGCATTTTTAACCCGAGCACAGGCTGGGTGGCAATTATCTATTTAAACCACAATTCCACGAAACAAACTTGCAACCTGAAATACAAAAATACCCTTTCTAGTAGGTTGTTTGTCCTGGGCTGTCTGGCACAAGATTTAGGTTTTGTTTATGCAAAAAATACATAGATTGGCATAACAATTTGTCCCTTAAAATGTGTTCTTTCACTGATGCTACATGGACTGAATTATACATATAAGATCTATCAACTATTTATGCAAATTGCACACAATTATCATGCATGTTAACGTTACATTTAAACCCAACTGTACAAATGAGAAACAATACAAAGGAGATGTAAAAAATTAGTCAAAATCGATTGTCAAATTGACTTGCGACTTGAAATTGTGACAATTCATGACTGGTTTACAGGCCTACTTTAAAGTGACAGTTGAGCATGCCATTATAGCACTCGAGTGAATTCCCTGTCACTTTAATACATCATTAGAGTGCTGCAGTGGTTTGCCTCGCTGTAACTTTTTAAATCTCTTTTTTTCTCTCATTAACAGAGCATCAAACTCGTGTCACGCTCTCCGGGACACGCAACCTAGGTATGTATCTATGAAGAAAGAGCCATCTTGTTTTTATTGGCTTGTACCCCTTTCAATGTGAGTGCTCACATTAGCTTTTATGTGCTTTATAGGTGCATTTAAATCACCTGTTATTGACCTCCCCCTTAGGTGTGTGTATTTTAGATGTAGCCCCTCTACATTACATATTATACATCAAGTAGCTTGCCAACCTATTTGCCATCTTTGGTTTTCTGAGGCAAATCCAGTTTCTTGTGCCAAGTTTAATTGATTATTCTGAAGGCTGACCATGGGGTACATTTCTGCTATTTCGTTGTTGGTGTGCGCTTGAGGATATATTTTCCAATGTTTGATGCTTGTATGCACTTGTATCATAATGCACGTCAACGACAAGTGGAAACTGAACCTTTATTTAGCCTCTTTATTCTTTTTAAACTTAAATGAGTACCTGGTGCTGTGTGTGAACATCAGCACGGGGGAGGTAATGGCACACTCTGTGGACATGAGTCCTCCCCACGCTAACCTCCCCCACCCCCCATATGCCATGCCTGCCTTCGTAGATGCCTTATAAAAACCATAACTCACAAGGACACTTTTCACTGGCATTAATATTTACTGGCAATAGTCGCTGCACTATTTTCGACATACCGCCATCACGCTATGTTGTTTTCCTACAAGTTCCCATCGTTGCATGCAGTAAATGTGTTAAAGATTGCATTTGATGATTGCCCAAAGAGTGCCCAGTAGTGTATAACGGCTGTACGGAAAAACTTGGTGGTGATCTTTATCCTCATGTATGTACATGTGTGTTGGGAAGTGGTAGTGTAGTCGATAGCGCACTGCACTCTGAACCCGGCGACCCGAGTTCAATTCCCGTGCATGGCTAACCTCAATGGTGAATCTAAACTGTTCCTGGGGCTCCCTCCCCTAGGTCGACTCGGCCTGCAATGAGTACCTGTTACGGTGCATGAACGTCCCCACGAGGGAGACAAAGCCGGTCCGGCATGGTTATAACCCATAGCACTTAGGTGCTCGTTTACAGCCTGTGCATACTACATGGGATTAGGGCTATCTTTGTCACTTTGTAATATGAATACACACGTCTTCCTGGCTGCCAACCTTAGTATGCCATACCGATGTCCGAATTAAGCTGACCTTTGTGTGTGTGTGTGTGGTGCGAGGCAGGTTCCGGCCGGTGAAGGGCCGCCGCGAGGAGCTGCGCAAGGTGGCGGAGCAGCTGCGTGTGGACGGTGACGTGGAGAAAGCTTACCGCGCGCTCAGCGCCCGGGAGTGGCCGCGAAACCACCTGCTGCACAAGAGCATCTTCAAGGAGCACGTACGGCATGCGGGACTACGCATGCACGCAGCCTGCTCCCCGGAGCAGGGGGCCCGATCCTCCTCGGACCGATCCTAGCCCGGATCGACCGCGATCTTTATAGCGAGTTCCCAGAGCTGGGAGTTGGGGAGGCGGCGGTCCGTGCCTTGCCAGCGGTTCCCATGAACAGCGTTGCAGTCCAGCCTAGGACCACTCGCTGTGGTGGTCACTAGGCCTAAACATTTTAATGTATGATGTGCCCTCTTAATGTTCCCCAATCTAGCCAACTAAATCCCTAACCCCAAAGGTATAAAATGGGTCCAGCAGATTAGCATGGTTGACTACATACGGTGCAGAAGAAATTCAACATACTTGCGTACATAAAAGACCGTGCCTGCTCATTGAAGGTCTTTCGTAACGAAGCCATGTGAGCTGAGCCGTGTGTGTTACAAGGCTTACAGTCACACAGCCTCAGGTCACTGGCAACTATGGGAAAGTCGCAAGTTAAAATCCTTGTTTGGGGTTCACTCGGGCCACCATCCCCCTGGGCTCGATAAAGTCGGTACCGCTTTGTGGAAAAGTCAACAGTGATTGCCCTATGAATATGTTAAAATGACGATTTTTCTTCCAATGGCTCAGGATTTTAAATGGGAGATGAGATTCACTTCAATGCTCAATTGAGTGAGAAATCACTTTGGCACATTTACAAATGCATATTAAGATACTGCTTCAGCATTACCTTAATACGGAGGCTTTTCTTCAGAGCAGAGAGCGGGCTGAAACACTGGCCAAATCTGTTCTCAAACTATACAAATGCATTCATTCTGCCTATTCCCTACTGGGAAGGTGGGACTGCCCGTAACGTTTTACATCTACGAGTCCTGTGAGCAAACGGGGAGCGTTCCTCATCTTGACAGTGCCACTTAAGTAAGCGCTCTCCTCTTTGCCAACTGCAGGTTCTCCGCTACCTCCGCATATTCACGGCGGAGAGCGGCTTTGAGATCCAGCAGTGCACGCGATACTCGTCGGAGAAAAATGGCGCCAAGGTGGTGGCTACGCGAGAATGGTTCGTTCAACCGCGGAGGGTTTTTGCTTGCAGGCTTCGCACATCGCACGCACACACAACACCCTCTCGCAATCATCACTGTTTGCACCGGATAACAAATCAACAGGGAAGGGTGTCTGTCCATCCTCAAAATAGAGCTGCATTTAGTGCTAATTATACAAGAGCAAGCCATTGTGTAGCCGTGTCATTGCTAGATTAATTGTATAATTCCGATATTAGGAAACCACTGGAGCTATGCACTTGTAAATTTAGATTGAAAATGTGTTTCTTTCGAGCTGCTTTTGTGTTTAGTTTGTTGTCCTTCCCCCCACACCTCCGATTACCATGGCTGGCTACATGTGGTGCGAGGAAAGTTCTACATACATTCATAATTATTGATTATTTTTGTGCTGTAAATGCATTCGAATGCAATAATTAAATAAACGCAGTGCTGCTTACCTATGGAGTTCATGAAGCAAGCATCACTTTGTGAAAAGCCAACACGAGATGTCCAGTATTGTGTGACTGGCCCCTGCCGTATGAATGTGTAATTCCCTCCGCCTGTTTAAGGTCAGAAATGGCGATGAGAAGCACTACCTCGTTCTCTCGGGTGGGGTGGTAACACATGTTTTTTAATAGCGCATTTGTGGTGTTACTCCATTGGCAATAAAATCTGCCAGTGCTTGGCAAAAGCATTCTGTGCTACTAAGACTGCCAAAATGAGTGGCTCTTACAAAGGTATATTGAGTGTCTGTGGTGTCGAATTCTGTATTGAAGCCTTTTTTTTTCAACACTCACATACACAGCAACTTTTATTTGGTGAGATTAACATGTGCTCGATAGCTTGCGCAGTGAAAAAATATCCCGTGCTGCACGTTGTGTGAACGTTGATCTCTGAACGTTTGGTTCTGACTGTTGATTGATGCCAACAGCGATATTTCCTGTTAAGCAACCGAAAGCATTGTGTTCCACTTAACGAGGCAGCATTTAAATAAATTGCTCGTGCAATTAATGATTAAGTGGAGCACCGTTTTAGTGCCATGGAACCAAGAATTATGTTTTGAATGTGGTCAATAAGTGCATATGCCCTTTTGTCAATTATCAGCTATTTGGGTCCTGGGGGTGTCCTCCACCAGCAGTGGATTTACCAAAGGTCCGGACATATACATGTTTTTGGGAAACGCATATCAGTGACTTACGTAGTATCTTAACCTGTAGTTTGCTTTTCATTAGCTTGCCTTTTAATCTCCCCAGTGCGAGCATCAGCACGGAGATTAAAGCAACTGGCCGGTGCTGGGTCACAGCCATGTTGGCCTTGGGGCTCGCTAACAGCGCTTGTCCCTTGCGACGAACTTGGTCTTAACCGCATGCCGGGTTCTTCGTCTCCGCTCGCAGGAAGAAAAACGAGAAAATGGAGCTGCTGGTCGGCTGCATCGCGGAGATGACGCCCGAGGAGGAGGCGCTGCTCCTACGGCACGGCGAGAACGACTTCAGCGTCATGTACTCGACGCGCAAGAACTGCGCACAGCTCTGGCTGGGCCCAGCCGCCTTCATCAATCACGGTGTGTGTGGCGCTTTCTCCCTCGGGGGGAGCGGACTGGGGCGTTCATTTCTTCCTCCCGGCGGTCACGTCACTTGTTGGTTTCGACTATAAGTCATCGTCCCTTCCAGCTTACATGTCTTTACAAAGCCCAGTTGCTTGTCTTAACAATGCAATTTGATGTTCAGGTCAATTTTATTTTTGTTTACATACTTGTGGTTGCCTTTATTACTCTCTGATCCATGTGTTCCACTTTACGTCTCCTAAGTATGATTCCTAGCATGCACCCTCTGCGTGCTCTTTTTTGCGCACTTTTGAACTTCTGTTCCAATTCTTTTGTCATTGTTTTTTGTTTCTGATCCAGATGACCTCGATGGCAATATTTCAGTTATGTTTACTTGATAAAACAAAATAATATTAAAGTCAATAAGATTATTATATATGTCCATAATAAGTAAAACAGTTGATACTCATATGACTGGGATAAAATGCGTTTTTTTCCTTGATGTGTTTTCAAATGTATTGGTTTTACTCTGCATCGATGGAGAAATAATACATCTGCATATAACAATCTTCCATCAGGGACATCAGCTCTAATAATAATGCTAATGTGAAAACAACAGATAAATCACGTTACAGTAAAACCAACTGGCTATTACAGAGAAACAAATCTGTTTTGAAAATTGACCAGTTACTGAAGACGCGTGACTTAAAATAGGACATTTATATTTAAAAAAATACTCCCGTCACTTAATGGAATGCAACCTCGCAGAGCTTGTACAATTCTGAAGTCGCTTTGGATGGTAGCTGGAGGAAATATACAGCGGAAGAAAACCCTAATAGTAATTTTTAAATCAGGCCCAGGTGTATCTGTGCTTAGAGCACTCAACTCTCAATCAGAGACGTGTCAAAATCCTCGTCAGGGATTGACCTGGCCCATCATTCCTCCAGGGTCGATAAAATACGTTGAACTTACTGGGAAGGTAAACAGTGGCTTGCCCTGTTTTGAGATTAGTCCCCCACGATCGGAATGCGGAATTTTCATCACCAGCTTATTTCCACCACTGTAGATGAGACCTGGCTCATTGCCTGCTTGAGCAGGGGATACACTTTAGCTTAAGTCCTAAAAGCCTCGTGTTCCATTGGCTGGGATTGTGGCACCCTTTCACGTGGAACTAAAATCTGAAGCTTAAAAATTGGGACGTGTTCCCATAGCTCTATGCACACCCTCTTCCTATTTCAAAGAAGATAAACAGCCATGAAGCTGTGTGACGACAATCAGATTAGTGTGCATGAAATTTATTATTTTAATAAGATTGTCCTTGTCTGCCCGAGCTTTCTGTTTTCCACTTTAATGTGTCGGAGTGACATAGCCTCGTTGTGGCGACGCTAGCAGCAATGGCAATGAAAAATTTATTTTCTCGGAGAAGAAGGTCATCTGCATGATTTACAGAAGCTAGCTCGCGCAGCCGAAAATCGATGCATTGTTCTGGGCCACAGAGTCGTTACAATTTTCCATACGGCGTGCATTCACGTTTATTTTCAGCAACGCTCTGTTCCTGTCCATGTTCGACATCGATTGTTAAAATAACTTTTGAAAATATCAACACTACCTTGAGTTGACTTTTGAGTGGCCAGTGAAATTGAGCCTTGTGCCGAATCCCTAGACACGCGTGGGGATGTATTGCATGTATACTACTGTCCGAACTGCACACGCGTTTGAATTAAAGCCAGCCACGCATGTGGCCTTACTCACAGGGTCTGCTGGATGAATGTGTAAATGATGTTAATTGGTATTGACTTTTCGATTTTGCTTGGTCAGGATTAATATGACAGGGTTGGCTGCACATTGCTCATCAGTTTTATCCAACAGCACAAACAAGCCCCATGTAGGCCAGCTTGGGACACCGCTTCCCCTACCTTTTACAGGTTTAGATCAGTTGGGCTCTTGAGTTGTAAGCACTGCCATTGAATCCTTGGGATGTACATGTGATTCATATAGGCTTAGAAGTTTGTGGCAGCCCCAACACTATTAAAGCGCACCGGTTGTGAAGTCATTTCTTGTTCGTAACATTGATTAAATATAATTATTTATGTGCATGCATGGGTGTATTATTTACTGCTTTCGCTTGGCGTTGTCGAGTGTAACCCCAAATCAATTGTTCTTAACCATCAGCTTTCACTTCTAATCGGGTATTTTAATTTGGCTCTTGCTTAAAAGGTGCTTTGGTAGCAATTAAGACTTTCTGTTATGCACAACGAGTTGCAATTAGCTGCCTGGTTGGTGTCACCTATACTGACATGCTTTGTTGTTGCACCACTCCCGTATCAGATGCACACTTTTCTCTGAACCCTCCAACATTTATCTGTGACCGACGGTAATGATGTGTGATGGAAGCTAACCAATCTTTCCTGTTTTTCTCCATGTTTTATACTGCCACGATTCTGCTGTGCGCTGCAGATTGCAGGCCAAGTTGCAAAGTGAGTATATAGACTAAATTTTTCAATTTCCCTTCTCGACTTTAACAAAGTTTGCAGCGATTTAAGCGATTTGGTAACTTGCATCGTTTTAAGCGCCATATTTAAATTCTCAGCAGCTCTTCCGCTGTATATTTTTCACCCGACGACGATTGCTCGTGTTACGATCGAAACGTGATATTGTTATCTTTATTATTTGTTCTATCTACGTGGCTTCATCCAAAGACCCAGAGAATATGAGATGATCGTTGTTATCGAAGCAAGTGTCTGTCGTTGTTGCTGCGCGCGCCCTCAGTTTGTGTCGACGGGACGTGACGCGGCGTGCGTGCAAGTGCTGCGTGATGTGGAGCCCGGAGAGGAGATCACGTGCTACTACGGTGACGGCTTCTTCGGGGAGAACAACGAGCTGTGCGAGTGTCACACGTGCGAGAGGTAAGGCGCGGTGCCACGCGGTGCCAGGCGGTGCCACGCATGTGTGCATTGCTTCATTAGCAACGCTCGATTGTCCACAGTTATGTCAGGCTGGTTGGCCCTTTGAATAGGATGGAAAAAAAAATTGTCTTCATATGTAATAAGTTAAAGGTTCATTGGTCAGGTGGCAAAAAAGTTATTCGTATATTTTCGTTCTTATGGCTGAAGTAGATGCAGAGCAAAAACTACAATTTCATATTCAACTGGTCAAGATCGACGATATTGGAGAGAATAGTTCCCATTGTAGTAATATGGAATTCCCACCACTGGCTCAGAACAGCCAATCGTAATGAGCACTACCATTATTAAAGTGAGCAGGAAAACACAACTTAGGTCAGATTAACATGTTGTATAATATTTGTTATCACTGTACAAAATCAACAAGGCGGCAAATCACTAAAGCAATGTGTTGTGGCCTTCTCATCAACATGTGCAGGGGTCGGGCAACCAAAATAACAAGATACATTTTTTTCGAATTCGGTAAAACAATTTGAAATTTCTAAAGCCGCAATGAATGTGAATACAAGACAGTCCTTAATAATCAACCTCAAGAAGTGGTCTTTAAAGAGCCGCATATGGCTCCGGAGCTGCAGGTTGTTTCCCCTGAACATGTGAATCTGGCAGTTTTTTTTTAATTCTAAAATGCATAGCTTTGTCATAAATCAGTGATCACACAAAAAAACACAAGTGGACACTGGAACATGCGTAATGGAGCTCTGTATCCACCTGCCAATTCTAGCAGCCACTTGGCTAAGCAACACACACCCTCCTCCACCTTGCTGAGAGCTGAGCCCAACAGAAGGGGGGTGGGGACGTTCCACGCGAAGCTGACAGCCGCGCTCCGCGTGTGGCCGCTCTGCGCGTTTGCAGGCGAAGCCAGGGCGCCTTCAAGCCTAAGGACGGCTCATCGGAGGCACCGTCGAGCGGCCTCAACAGCGCCTACCGCCTGCGCGAGACCGACAAGCGGCTGCACCGCCTCAAGAAGAGCTGTGTGGGCGGCAGGGATTCTGCCGGGAGATATTCCAGGATGTCCGGCGGCACCGACACCCAGCGCAGCGCGCGCCGCCTTCTCTGTACGCCGTTCGCTCCCGTCAATAACGAGCGGCCACCAATTTTGGCTCGTGAACATCAGTCGTGCGCGCGCGCAATCGCCAATCACTTTCCGTTCTTGTTATCGTACCGCGTATTCTTCTGAAGCTTTCGGTACATGTACGGCGCCTGTGTCCATCCACTGCTGGATGAGGGCCTCCCCCCACGCTGTGTACGGCTCGTGTGGGTTATTCATAATAAAGGTTTTTGGGTTAGATCGCGTTTATTTATAAATGTGTCGTAACCCTCCACCACCCGACACGGCCAATCAGCAAAAAAAGTGTCACGTTGACAAAAGACTTTTGTAAATAAACGCGATCTAACCCAAAAACCTTTATTATGAATAATATTGGTCGCGAAAGCCTACGTGTTAAACTCGTGTGGGTTATTTCACTATGCTTGATGCTGGACAGTGTGGGGGGTGTTCATCGTAATAAAAATAATAACATTTGCAAAATTACAATTTTTTCAAATTTTTTTGACATGTACGTAACACTTTTATTTCAGGCTCAGTAAATGCACTTGAAAATGTTGACCGTTTATATTGACGTGCTTTCTAATTTGAAAAAATGTTTTCCACGTGTCCCCAATGTCTGCATGTCTCAGTCACTAGCCACCGCTTAATTTGGTCTCTTCCAATACAAAAATTGGGCATTTGCCTAAAAACATTTATATTATTGTCATGTTTACTTGGTGTTATTTTAACCATTACACAATGTTCATGTTTTTTTATTCCATTAACTTCTGCCAACAGCTAAATAATAGAAATCTGCAAACCTCTAAGTTTTATTTTATCAATTCATTATTTTATTCTCATTCTACGTGACTTTACCGAAAGAACCAAAGAAGTGCATGCCAGAGCCTGAATTCACTTTTTCTAAAACTGCTAAATACCAAAATCAGCAAATTCCTCATGATTGGTGGTAAAAAACTATTTTCAGCTGCTATACAAGACCCGTGGTGCCCTTATCATAGTGAGCAATGTCCTGAGAGTCAAAGCAGCAACAACAACCCCATATACCGCTGATTAAAACTATAGTAATGAATGCAGTGAAAGCTAAGAGTTCTACTGTATGGATACAGTACTTACCATTACAGATCCTTAATCACTCCAAATTCCTTACCCAGTGATAAGACGCTCTCAATATGGCCCATGTTCCCACAGGCGACTTGAGACGCAAGTTGAGAACCCCTGCTAAGAAAGCATTTGCTAACAGGATTACAGCAGTGGCAGCACAAGTATATGATAACCATACAAGTTTCTAATTTTGCCTGTGTTTCATTGCATGTAGTGCACAAGTATGGAGGAGATGCACACCTCAGGAGCTAGGGGAAGATTAGGAATTATTAGGTTGAGTAGACCTCTTTGATTTCTGACCAATGGCAAGTTTTATCTGAGCTGTTCCTGGGACTCTCTGCGACCTCCCAATGGTCCGGCCAAACAATCCCCCAATACCAATGGAGTGTGGGGACACCTCCATCCGGCAGGGAATTGACCCAAAGGGGCTGTACATTATTCTTGCAGCTTAACCCCGGTGACGCAACATCCTTAAGAGAGAAGCTTAACCACTGGTCTTGCCCCATCTTCTCTCCCTCTCAACCCGCAGCCAATGCCAAGAATGCGTACACGCCCAAGAAGACGACACGTAAAGCGCGGGCATCGGCGAACAGGCCGCCACGCACGGCCTACAGCAGCCACCACGGCGGCCGACTGGCGTTCCTCCCCTCCGGAGAACACTTGACCTTCGACGCTGTGGAGCTGCTGGCGACCGCCATTCGGCTGCGTCAACCGAGCCGGCTCGTGCCTCGCGACGGGCGACCGGCGCCACCGTACCGCTCCCCCGCCGGCCTGCGCGCCCCCGCGGCACCGTGCGACGAGTTCTTCCCGTGTGTACTGCTCGCCACGGCGTCGCCTGCCGGCCCCGCCGTGCCCCCGCGTTTGCTCAAGCGCTGGCTCTCGGGTGGCGGGGGCGGTGGGGGCGGAAGCGACGGCAGGGAGCGGCCGAGGAACGGCCTGAACGGGCTGGCGACGGTCGGCACCGCTCGGCTGAAGGCGCTGCTGCAGCAGGCGCTCCTGCGACAGCCCAAGGTGGTGCTGATTAAAGACCCGGCCGTGGAGCGGCTGTGCCGCGGCGGGCGGCGGGCGTGCGACCCCGCTACGGGGCCGGCTCGCGTCAAGGAGCCCGGCGGCCACGGCAACGGCGCCGACGACGGCCGTCCCGTGCCTTCGCCGGCGTGTGGGGCTCTGGCCGGGTGCAGCGAGGTGCTGGCCGACGCTGCCGACGCGCTCAGCCTGTGCAAGGCGCCGTTGCAGGCGACCGAGGCAAGCGACGCGGCCGGGGGCTGCTTGCCCCCGTCGCCGGCATGCGGCACCAGCACGGGCTTTGGCGCCGGCGGGCGAGCAGGTGCGCTGCCCGCTGAGCCGGCGGTCTCGAATGCACGCGAATGCAAGGCGAGGGCGGGCGAAGCGTACGGCACCTCCGTGACCCCACCGCCCAAGCGCTTCCCGCTGCTGCGCATCCCCCCCGCGGGGCCCGGCTCGGGCTCCCGGAATGTCGCCTGGGAGCCGCCCGGCAGCACCGCCGCCGCCGTAGCTGCGGCCCCCTTTTCCAGCAATCTGGTGGCCGACATCGAGAACTGGATGCTGGAGGGCGACCGGGACTTCGACTCGGATCTCCTCAAAATTGTGGCCGGCGCGGGGGCGGCCACCCCACGCTCGAGTGTCGGCCGAAGCACGCCGAGACCGGACGGCGATGGTGGCGGTGGCGTCGGCGGCGACGGCGACGTCGATGGCGGCGACGCCAGGCGGAGGAAGCGCTCTTCGGGGAGACCGGTGCGGGGAGACGGAAAGCTTTTGCGGCTCTCGCCCCTGAAACGAAACGCGAGCGGCGGCGGCGGCGGCGGCGGCGGCAGGAGGGGCAGCCTCGGCACCGCTAAATCTCCCACTCCCTCGCCACCGGCTTCAGCAGAATTACAGATGGGTAGCATCGCCCCAGAGAGGCGAGGAAACTCCAAGAGGCGGCACAGCGCGGACGAGTACCAGGCGGTGCTGGTGAAGAGCGATGGCGTCGTCTCCACCGCTACCACCACCACTGCCACCGCCGCTACCACCCAGCACCTGGAGGGCATTGACTCTAGCACGGTCGTCCGGGCACAGTTACCCAAAGTGCGCATTGTGCGGCTCAGCGGGGGCCTGCACAGCGCTGCCAGCTACGGCAAACGAGGCCGTGGCTGCAAAAAGTTGTTGGTGTACAAGTCGATCGGACCGACGGGCCCCACACAGCTTCGGCTGCGGCTGCAGAAGCGCAAGATCCGCAAGCGTAGCTCCACGCGCAAAGACGTGCCGGAAGCGGACGCCACCATCGCCGCTCCCGTGAGCGCCGGCGGGCAGGCGGCAGCGACGGTGGAGGCACAGGCTCAGAGGCGGGGTGGATCCTCGCAGAAGAGGGGAACCGCTGGGGTGGACGTGCCTGCGTTCCTGCCGTTCTCACAGCCCAAGCGGCTGCGCCTCATCCTGGGCAAGGAGTCCATTGACATTGACATTATGGCACGCTGCCAGGCGGGGATTTAGGATAGCAGCGGTGGGAGGGAGAGATGGAGACATGAGGACTTGTTCAATAATAGATGCTGCTTTCTGTTTGCAGACATTGTTAAGCGTCTGTGAATATGGCTGAGCTACGTGTCGTCACCGTGTTTTGGGATGAAGCTGACCACATTGATCATGGTCGCTGCAAAATCTTACTGCAGTAAACACATATATCATATTAATAGGACACTTACTATTAACTTCTCAGTAATTTCCACTTTATTTTCTAAACAACCCCTGTTCCACACATTTTCAGCAAGTCATTGTCACACAATCCATTGGCTGAGTTGGGCTCCGTTCACACAGGGCTGGCAAAACTTGCACTATGACCGGCTCGGTTTATTCAAGCCCTGCAGGAGACACTTTGCTTTTGTTTGTGAAAAATAGAGGGTCGGTGGCCCAATGAGAGTCGTGTGGGCATGGCACAGATGGAGGATGGTGTGTATTTTCAAAACGTGTTGTGTTTTATTGTTTGTTATTGCTGAATTGGTCGCTCTTTGAATCTAATTGAAAGGTCACCTCCATATCACAAGCATTTGAAGTCAGGATTGTCCTATTTCAAGGCACATTGATCAGTCAGCTTTTTAAAAGACATGCAGAGTTCTTAGAAAGCCTTGTCTTAATGGCTAGTGCCCTTCACAACCCTGCTCGGAAATGTCACTTTTTTATTTCTCAAAAAGGTCACGTGCTTGAAGCCACACAACGTTTTAAAAAAACATCTTGAGTCAACAATTTACTTTTTTCCCCCTCATCTTTGTCTGCAAACATGTGGCAGTAATAGCAATTCTACATTGACATGTTTGTGCTTAGGACAACCAATGTTGACTGCCCCCAAAGTGGTGCTCCTTTTATTGACTGGGGAGGGATAATGGGTGACCGAGTTGATCAAACTAGAATTTAAACTCCGTAACCCGATTGCTGGTCAGTCATTTTAACAAAGGCACACCTAATGTGAAACTACAGCACTTTTGGTGCTACGTGGTTATGACAAAGCTGAGACAAATAAGCTCATCATTTTTAAGCAGCAGTTAATCATGTTGTGGATGTAGATGCAAAAATGGTCAATAATTTTCGGTGCCATTTTATTTCTTCATAGCATAAAAGTGACCTGTATAGTGTCCCCGTGGGCCCCCAAAGTATTTGACTTGCATTGAGTTCAGACCATACAAGGAGTGCCATCACCTCTGTCGGTGCACTCTTCGCGTTAAGCAGAGCAACTTTATTTCAGTTGATTGCCAATTTGGATTTGATCTTTTACAGCATTTTCAAACGCCCCTTGCACGTGAACCAAAATAATTAAACAGAAGTTTGAACAGAAATTTTACTTGCTTTGATTTTACTTGAAAGAGAGTTGGCCATGGTGGCCATATACCGTATTTGGTTACTGGTTTAATGATGTTACGATTGTTAATTTAAATGGGTTTTTTTTGTTTTTGTCGGTGCGCAGGGTTGATCTTGTGAGTGCCCACCAAGGCTGTTGTAAGCCTTTCCACAATGGCAACGCGGTGTGAGTGGTTACTGTGCATGCGTTCAAATGAGAGGTGCTTTGACGTTTGACGAGTTACAACTTGCAGCAATCCACTATCCGTGCAGAAGGATTAGCCAATTGTTCATGTAAGAAGTGTCCTGGAAAATATTGATAGCACAAAATCTAATTTTCCAGAAAGTTGAGTTTCATCCAGATTAGGTGGATTGAGCGAATGAACAGAGTGAATTATGCGGCCGTCTGTGGGGAGATGCAATAAAAACTGGCAAAAGTGGGTTTAAAAAGGTGTTAAGATGTTCAAACACCTAATATAAACCTTTTGCAAGGAATCAAGTTCGCACTAACCACACGTACTTGTGGTTAATATGCAAACAAACATGTTCTGATACTATATGTATTGTCTTTGAAACTGATTGGCCTACACCAGAGAGACAGCCTTCTTTAGGGCCTAGTCTCACCAGTGTGAGGACCGAGGCAACTGCATATATTATCACAGTTTGCATGTTCACCACAAGTACGTGTGGTTAATGCTGACTTTATTCCTTGCGAAAGGTTTCTATTTGGTTCCAGTGAGGTTAGTGTGGGGTATATTAAAATGAGTGTCAACTTTTTCCAGGACTATCCTCATCATGTGAGTATATTTTGGTCCTTTTGCTTATGGATTGCCTTTTTTTGTTTGTTATACTAAAGTGTGCCCAGCCAAATGAAAAGGTAAAATTATGTATGGCTTAATCCTTTGTGTAGCAGCAATGGGCTCTGTACATTGACTCTACAAATCGAGCCTCTTACCAACACCGTTATTGTTGTGGTTTTGACTGTGTGATACTCCAGCTGTCATTATGGTTTATTTGCAACGTTCAATATCTTGATACCGGCAAAAGGGTACCTGACTGCAGGCGTATTAACGCGTGACATCATTCGAAAAGAGTAGGCCCATTGTGTGCTAAGGTCCAAATTTTACATTTAAAAAAAATACCTGCAAATCATTCAATTGGGATTACACTGAGAAGCATCGCCCTGTACTGTGAAACTAATGCCAACTGTGAAACATTGGACCTTCAAAATAGCCTTGAACTATAAGAATCGTGCAATTACCAAATGTTCTCATTCCTCAATTTTTGTTATGCCCCTGCCATATAAATAATAATTAACAAGCTCCCTTTGGTGAAGGCACTCTATAAATTAGATTATATCATAGTGCAGTGCAGCAGGGCACAGAGAACGCCTGTTAGTGAACCCACATTGACAGGTGTAGCACTTTGACCAATCACGTGAAAAAGTCTACATTCAATCGGAGGTGAAACCAAATGTTATACATCGCCATCAAACCTTCTCTGTTAATACATAAGCACTGATAATACATGTACGACAGCATTGTTTACCACAGCGACATGCCAATTCAAAGTTGCTCCAGTCGGTAATTCGGAACGTAAAGGAATGCAAAGGACAATGTGGCGTCGTCAAGTTTGTTAAATAACGCATTTGTTGTGAAGGCCGTGCTTGTTCCAACCTGCAAAGGGCCTGCTCAGCGTGGTGGCACAATCGTTACACTTACGGCTTTCTCAGATTACAGTAATGCGCTTAATCCCGCTGCATAATTACACCTTGGAAACTTCTGTTTTGCTCGAGAGGCCCTCTGTTTTTTTTTACACACTCCGGAGCCATGCGACGAGGTGACTGGCAGGAGTTTGTGAATGAGTCTTAGGGCTGTATCAATGCTGCTGAAGTCGCAAATCTATTGCGGGAACTTTGCATACCGCCACCACCGATATTGGTGTGAACCAGGGGTGTTTCGCGTTATGTTTCCATCGTAACGAATGCCTTGCTCATTAGCAGTGTCTGGACTCTGCTGTGGTAACGGTGATGCATTTAGGTAGTCAAGTGGTTTTGAGGCAGGGTGGATGAATCGCACGCAGATGGAGCCCTCGGTTGTATTAGATGTGCTCAGCGGGTGCCCTCAGAAGACAGAAGACAATGCAGGAAGTAGATTTCTGACCAATCTCCATTTTAATTATCTCCTTGTACACAGTGGGTTTGTTTATGCACTCCAGTTTCCTCCCACGCACAAAAATACTCGAGAAATAAGCCAAACATCCAAAGCAGCATCCTCCTGAGAGCGAGTCATAATTATATATTTTTTATCATAGATGACCATGGATTTTTTTTCAGTGACCCAAGTATTGCCTATGTCATCACCACAGCGATTAGGAAAATAACATGGAGTGAACGGTGGGATACGAATAGAGATCGCCTGTGTAAAGCAGCCACTCTGGAATGCCAAGGCATTCAGTGCATCATGCAAGTTGACTTAAGCGCTAAAGTGTCCAAAAAGTTTAAATATAAAATGTAGATCTACTTAGGGGCTGTATTTTGCATCTCCTTGGATACGAGCCTGCTTTGGGTTCGGGTTTTAATAGCGATGATGGTGCATGGCTGCAACGTGTTAGAGGTGCGGCCACACATTTGGTTGTACGAACAAACATGACCGCTTAAGGCTGAATGCTCCCGCTATTCAGTTCTTCAGTGTCGCAGCTCGCGTGTCATAACCACACAGTACCTCTCCTCCTGCCTTTCTCATCATGGCTGCATGTCTAGGGTGGCGCTGTGGTTGGACCACTCGACTTGTATTCGAAATTACAGATTAATTTTAGTTTGGGGGGTGGGGGGGGAGACTCAGCCCATTATATTAAATGAGGGTAGTTAACAGTGGTCATCTTCTGGCCCCTGCCAGGGTTATGTGGCATTTCTACCCAGGCTCAATGTCATCAAATCAGAGATGAGGTCCATGCCATTAGTCTGTTGAGCAAGAAGGCACTTCACTTTTGACGTGTGTGAGAGCAAAACATACATTATATTGTTGTTTTGCCTTGTGTCCATAGCTCATCCTGTCATTGATTATGCAACCTCCGAATAGCATGGTTGGCGACGTACGGTGCGAAAGAAGGTCAAGGTCAACGTGAAAATATGAAATTGACACTTTCTGAACGCTTATGTAAAAACATGGCTCAGAGCAAGCAGAGACGTCACGCAAAAGTGGCCCTATTCCAGTGTCCATTGCAAAGCCCGCGCAGGCCACTGGTGGCCTTTAGTGCGGCCCCCAACGAGTGACAACACCCCCCCCGCCCGCCATCATCGTGCTGTCAAATCCCAATGAATTCAAACGTCTGGTGGCCCTCACACTGATGATGTCTTATCGGATAAAGTGCCCCCCCCCCTCTTAAAATGAGTAAAGAACACTGCCTCATTCAAACTAACTTGGGGTGGTGCTCGTAGGCCGAGCCCTGTCGATTCTATGCAGTTGGTACTCATCGGCTGCGGAGGGATGATGGTTTGATTCGGCTCTTGGCCATGGTTTTGACTTGCAGTCTTGCCATCGGAAGCTCTGCCCCTCTGCAATACCCTACCATGGTATCGGACAAAGTCAACACTGGGGGTTTTCGGTTGTTTTCAAGTAGCATTCGATTCAGTGAGTAATAAATGGCCACTTGGCAAAATGTCTATAAATTGCAAGTCTATCGTGGCAGAAGACACCGACAAATACCATAATTTACGACACCATATACAATGAACGTAATTTTGTCCATAGTACAAATGCAATTACAGAATGAAACGCCAACGTGTAAAAACACTTAAATTTCACTTGATCCAAAAATAAAACGCATTAATAGTTCACACGGTTTTTTTTATTAGCTGTCGTAAAGGCATGCTTTGGTATGTGCTTCAGTGTTCGTTGTGCTTTGATGACTGCTGAAGCCAAACGGCGTTGAGGTGGACACTTTGAATTGCATTCCTACAAATTGATTCTTACGTCCATAAATATGCAAAATTGTTGCATCTCCTGCTTTGCTTTACCGTAGCATGTTTCTGCTGATGAACGCACAATAAGCACCCCGAAGTATGTTAAGTTTTTGTTGCTGGATAATCCAGGCATTACTGCGTTGATCTGTATATGAGTGTGCATCGCTGTACATATAAAACATTTCTATATTTTGTATAATTAGCAGTTTTAATATTGTGACGTAACAAAAATACAATTCAAAAACATGTCTGTAGATAAGGCCACGACTGAAACGTCAATGTAATACTTTATCGGAGACAATCATTGCAACCTATGTTACTTGGTTTTATCAATACTTGTTTTAACAGTGAGCATGAGTACCCACTTGCTTATGCCACAGCTTGTATAATGAGGTGTACATAATTGGTTCTAGAACCTTGCATGCACGTCCCAAGAATATAATCTTCAAACTACCTACTTGTCATAGATTCACTTTAATTCCTTTAATAATATAAAATGTACAGAGAAAAACTAAAAGAGCATGGCCAAGGCTTTAGAGGTCGTGGCTCGTATTTTTCAATGTGCGTTGTCTGCAGGGCAGGTTTCCATGAGGCTATGCCAACGACTCCTCTGTTCTGTTGAAATTGCCACCCGAGCTGTTTGAAATTGAGTGGGGTGATGTTCAGTGTTTGCGCTTCTGACTTGAAAACGATATTCGCATGTGAGCAAAAACCCAGTTTGATTTTTTTTATTTTGATTGAGGCCAGACTTCCAGCTAACATTGAAGTGTTTCAACATCAGGGGCAGCAAACATTAAAAATGTCTCTTGCAATACAACTCTGCGGTTCATTCTGAAAAAATTGCAAATTTTATCTCAACTGACTTTAATTGTAGTTTAAACTTAGTTCCGAGCACATGGTCAATCAATATCTTTTGGGGATCCCCAAGCACTTGTGAGCAGATGTGGCTGGTGAGTGAACCGAGTTTACTCCTGTGTTATCTCTGCCCATGCCCCCTACGATTCTATTGTCATAATTCAAGGTCATCATTGGTTCAGGGGATTTTTTTCTCAGTCTTGTTATCGTTTCGCATTGACTGTCAGTGTTGCATCACACTCACATTTGTAGTTGTGGCTTCTATATGCACTGCCTGGTTTGTCTCGGAGAGTGCCGTCACGTTTGCAATGTTTTTTTCCCCCGGTCCTGATCTGTTCCTACCGTTGACCTAAAGAAAAAAATAAATTAACTTACTTGAACTGTTAAACAATAGATCCGTCAATGCATTTTGCACACGAGTGATCGTGTACGAGTTTTCAACTTTAATTTCAAATATTTTCTGCACAAATCTTTTTAAAAAA